GGTTTTGTTTCCTGAGAAGGTCATTGGATTTTCAATTGACCTAACCCTTCAAGCTGCACTATGACCATGGGGGTTGACTCAGCCTCTAGCAGAAATGAGTAACAGGATTCCTTGGGGTACCTGGTGGATGAGGCTGACAATCTCAGCACCACCTGTGAGCCGATTGTCTAGAAAATGTGGGAGCCTCAATGTTTCACAATCCTATGGGCCTCCACAGCCTGTCCCAGGAATAGCTTTACTTTTTCTTATTGTAATTATTCCATATCCAGTCCAATGCAGTTTTGTTTGTGATTTGTTGGATAATCTGTTCTTAATTGTGACTGCACTTGCATGACATAAATTTAGTCCAAGTGAGAAGGCAGAGTAGTTGATAGCAATGATTGGCAGAGACCTGCTGCACTTGGATGGATAGCAAGAGAGCAGGGAAGCAGCAGGCCAGGTGTTCAATGTTGAGCAAGTACAGTGTTTTCAGCCCTGTCTGATTGTACATTATCAGTTGTGGCATGTATGTGGAGAACATTATTAGCTCTTGAAAGAGTTTTTCCTTGAAAAATACAGATTTATAAATTATGCCCATCTTATATGGAGTGCAGTTGTTAAGTGTTATTATCTGAGATCATTTTCATGTGAATCTTTTGTTTCCAAAATCATTCTTGTCATGACAGTATAGACATTTTTCCATGTACAGTTATCATTTACAGTTGCTTGCCGACATTGGCACGTGCATATTTGCATTAGAATATAATAATGCATTTTTGTGTTTGATGCTAATCCTTGAACTACCTTGAATTTGAATGATATTATTTACACTCTGAGTAAAATTTTATGGCTGTATGTTTTTAGATTTTGTCTTGTTGGACTGAGTGGAAAGTGTTTAATTTGCTCAGAAGGCACTTGTGATAGGTGTGATATTAAATTCTTCGTTACTTGAGTTAATGAACCTGCCAGGATACCACAGGTTTTGTTCATCACTTGCTTGTTCCAGTGATAGATGAGAAACTTGTATACATTGTGGCCATGTAAGGTAGACACTGTGTTGTAGTGTGAACACAGCAGATGCACAGTGCTTTTATTCATAAGGTGTACAGTTGGGAAGAATATACATGACAATATTATACAATACAGCATATGTTGTAAGATAACGAAATATTTAATTTACAAATGAATGTTACTGACTTTTGGAACATCTAGAAGAGAATTGATTTTCTTAAAGGACACATTTTCAAAAAGATTCACAAAATCAGTTAGTATGGACTGGGGGAGACAAAGAAACTCCTATTTGACCCTGTTAGGGGAGTTAAAAGGAACACTGATTTGGAGGGCAATTTGCTGAGAGTATGTCAGGTGGTCCTTAGTGAAACAGAAGTGAATTTCCTAGTTCTTTTTTTTTTTGCTACCCAATTTATATTTACCTTTCTTTTCTAGAAATAAAATATTAGGCATATCTTTATGAAACTGGGTGTGAAACCACTGTGTGGGATATGTCACTGCAGATCTTAAAGATGTTTATTATCCAGATATGTCCTGCGCTATGTGGAGAGGAATAATTTCAATTGGAAATACTTATATACATACTGGAGTAGTAATATACAAGGGCTATTTAGAAAGTAACCTTTGTTTATTTTAGATAACTAATATAGGAATGGGAGAGCTTTTGCACGTGAGGTAGTGTCACATGCCTCGCCTTGTAAAACCATCACATAACTGGTAACCTAGTGTTTTTGTTCTTGTCTCTACAGAGTGAGTTATGACGTGCCCTGTGATTGATAATCTCGCCAGCTGTGAAATTTGCTGTTATCCACTTTCTTCACACAAAAAATACAAGTGCTGTGGAAATCCACAATGTTTATGGCCAAAATGTAATGAGGGAAGGAACTGTAAGACAGTGGTGTAGAATGTTCAAAGATTGGTGGGTGGACAAAGTTCATGGCCGTTCACGATGAAGATCAAAGTGGTTGTCTATCTGTAGTGAGTGATAATCTTGTTCAAAGTGCCGACCAAAAAAATTGTGAAAGACAGCTCTTCAGAATTTCAGAACTTTCGTGAATTTCCACAAATGTCAGTGTTCTTTATGAGATTATCACAGTTAGGATAGGCTATTGCGAATTTTGTGCAAGATGGACCCAAATAATGTTAATGGATGTGCACAATACAGAGAATGGCTTTGACCCTTTTAGAGTGATACCAGAATGATGGTGATTAATTTCTCAATCACATCATATGAGTAACAGGTGATGAAACCTGGGTTTCATTTGTGAATATTTAAATAAAAGAGCAGTCAAAGCAGTATATGCACACACATTCACCAAAGAAGCCAAACAAGTTTAAATAAGTGTCTGCCAGAAAGCTGATGACATATTTTCAGGGACAGGAAAGGAGTGCTGATGGTAGAATTCATGCAACAAGGGACCACAATGTTCAGAAGTGTATTGTGAAACACTAAAAAAAATGCATAGGGCTATTGACAAGAAAAGGCATGGGATGTTTAAATGTGGTGTAGTGCCCCTCCATGATGCTGTACGTCTGCATACAGCTGCTCACACTCGGGCACTGCTGCAGCATTTCAACTGGGAGTTGTTTGACCACCCTCCTTGCAGCCCTGATCTTGCTCTGAGTACTACCATGTGTTTACCTCCTGAAGAACTGATTGCACTCATAGCACTTAAGCAATTATGAGGAGTTGACAGAAGGCGTCAAAAACATGGCTAAGCTCACGGGCGAGCAACTTCTTTGACACATCATCATCATCATCATCATCAGTAATCTGTCAAGACGACAGGTCCACAGTCTCTTCCAAAACAGTTCCTCCACTTTATGCGATCTAGAGCTTTCTCCTTCAAATGACAGTATCCTATTCCGTCCCCAAGGTTATCCAGCATCTTCTTACGTCTTCTTGTCACTTCTATCTGCCCATCTATCTTTCCTTCGATAGCTTCTTTTAGAAGGCAGTGTCTGCGTAAAACATGACCAATCCAATTAGCCTTCCGTTTTCTTATTTCATGTAGGATATTCCTCTGCTCACTGACTCTGATTAACACTTCTTCATTTCTCACATAATCGGTCCAACTGATCTTCTCCATTCTTCTCCAACACCACATTTCGAAACTTTCCAGATGTTTCTGATCTACTGCCCTAAGTGTCCATGTTTCAGCCCCATACAGAGCTATGCTCCAAATGTAGCATTTCACTAGTTTCTTCCTCAAAGTTAAGTCCAATTTGCTGGTAAAAAGATTCTTCTTCTTGCTAAATGCAGCTTTTGCCATGGCAATCCTGGATTTAATTTCAC